CGGTCCGAGGCCCGGGGGTTGGGGACCGCTGGTTTAACTGGTTGCCTATGATCATATTTCTCCTCAGCACTTAGACTTCCCTGTAAACTAAATTGCCCTCTACAGCAGGTGTTTTGTTTGAGGAGGCCCCAAATCCAGATGAACAGAGTTTTATTTTAGGATATTTTCAAGTATTTTGTTGGCAGAGAGTCCCAAACAGGGTAAATAAAAAGCAAAAAAGCCCTCTACAAGTTTACAGTCGGCTCATTCAAAAGTTATTCCTCTCGTCTCCTGAGCAATAAAAGGAGAGCAAAACCTAAGAAAGTTGTTCTGCAAGCCGCTCCATAAACACATTAACCCATAACTCATTTTACTCCCTCATTGATTGGAACAAACCATCTCTCTCGCTCTGCACAGTCACAAACCACCGCTGCATGAATCCCCTCCTCCCTCCATCCTCCCGTCCTCCCGGGGCTCGTATGAGGCTGGTGTTGCACCGGCTGCGGACAGGAGGAGCTCTCCAGCCATAAAAAAGGTAAAGGAGCCATTACGGTGCACCTCGGGGAGGCATCGCCATCAAATGACCTGGAACACTTTTAAAGCAGAGTCTCAGCTGACTTCCTCAGACAGCTGCTGTTGAACAAATCTTTCACCACGAGGGGCAGACGGTGTGAGACACTCCAGAACCTGTGTGTAAATGTGTGTGTGGGCGGCGGGATGAAATCCGCGTGTCTGTGCGCTTGTGATGGGCAACAGCACAAACAGGTTGGGCAGGTAAAGGCGAGGTGAGGTCAAGGTATCAGTTCGGTTTTATTTCATGTCTCCAGAGGTTTTCTGTTGCTTCCTGCAGCTTGGAGGGAAACGACTCCCGTGGGAATGCAAATGTTCTCTGCATGAGCTATATTATCACTTACCCTTTTCCCCCGATGCTGACTTTTTTAGCCCTCAACACACCGCATATTACTTCCATTTAGCAGGGTGGAACGACCACCCTGCACATGGTGATAGGTACCTGCTGTTAGGAGGAAGACATCACCTAATGGCTAAGCTACTATTTCTTTAATGGTTGTTATCAGTCCTGTATAATGCATACATCTGCAGTTTTTATTATCTTTGATGTGCATATTTGTGAAGATATGATGGTAAATCCATCCAAGTGAGCCACGCACTATATGAGCAAAAACATTGGGCCACATCTACACTAGCTTTTCCAAAAGCCGTGCCCCTACTGCAGCTTCCACTCTTCTGTGAAGAATTTCTACAAGATTTCGAAGCGTGCCTGTGGGAATTTTTGTCAGTTCATCCAGAAAAGCTTTTGTGAGGTCAGACACTGGATGTTGTATGTGGAGCCCAGGCTTGCCATTTCCATTGTAGTTCATCCCAAAGGTGGTTGATGGGTTTGAAGTCAGGGCTCTACACGTTTTTCCACACCAAAATCATCCAGCCATGCTTTTATGGACCTTGCTGTGGCATCCTATTACAGTACCATGCACGAATTCATTGAGCGCTTTACAACAAGGCATTCTTTGGGAAATGTTTGCACTGGCAGACTGCATGGCTAGGTGCTCGATTTTATACATCCATGTCAATGGAACTGGTGAAAAAATATGTGGCCTAATACGTCCACGTATCTCATGATGGTAAAGAGAGAATCCACAAATGAACACTTTTAGGATGGGCTCAGGCCGACATTTACTCACGTGTGATGTGTAATAAATTATTTTTTGGAGCAACGACACCAAAACTGTTAACAAACATCCACATTTGTTAAGTTCATAGATTCAAGGTAACGTTTCTTTTTGTAAATGCATGTACAGTTATGTTTACAGACTCTTGTGCATCCGAACTTAGCTTCTAGTTTGTTTCTCTGTATTCTGTCAGAGAGAAAACAGCTTCCGAGGGTCTAGTGATGAAAATGTTTAAATGCATCTCCGCTGGCTTCACAACAGTTTGTGCTTGTGTGTGATGACTTTCTTGTGTAACTGCCAGTGTCTCGTGGCCTTTCTTGCTAACTGGTGCGGGCTGTGATGTAAATCTGCACTGGTCCGTCTCACCTTGGTGGATACCCAACAGTGAGGCTAACAGAGAGTCAATTACGGTTGAACTATGACAGCACCGGTGTTCAGCTCACACTTGATGCTGCGTCCTTGTAATTAAACGTGTCAGCAGCTACACGTGTGAAGTGCAGCCTGTCCACACGGCTGTAACAAGGACGCCTTAAGTCAATGCGCATGTGCGCTCGGGAATTACGGGTCGTTCTTTGCGTGCTTTCAAAAATGCTTCGAGAAGAGCGTGCACGACTCTATTTCATTATCTGCCTGTGTGGTCTGTGGGTGTCTAATAGCCAAAACCTTTCTGTAATTGCAGTGGCGGCGCCTGAGGAGAGAGGGGGAGCGTGAATGTGTGTTAGACAGAGGTTTGACAAATGGACATTTGCAACCCTAATGGAGTGTGAGAACGCGATTCTAATTATATGCA